ACTTCACTACCTTCAGGGTTTAGGAATATCCCCCCCTCTATATCTGTCACATTGGACCCTTCCCACCCCGGGTTTCCCAGCATCCTTTGCAGCAGCAGCAGCTCTCTGCTGGAGCTGCTGATGTTGGAGGAAAATGCGTAACAGGAAACAGAGAGATGGACCAAACCATTCCACACCCGATGTAGAGACAGACCTTCATCACATCACACACAGGGTTCATTTTAAACACTTTATTGTTATTAAATGAATTGTTCTCACCTGTCAGGTTGCTTTGGTGCTACTTCATGTACATGTGATGCTCTTCATCTCACAGCTCTTATAATATTGCATTCTATTCTTTTCATATAATAGTCCCATAAAGTTCTTATTTCTCGTATTTTAAGGTATATTTAATTATGATGTATAACTATATGAATGCCTCATTGTGCGTGTATTGTCCTGAACACTTCACTATCGCAGTAATATTCTTATATATAGTGTATTCTTATGGCTATTTATAGCTGCAATATTTCTGAAATATTTCCATAATAAAGTATATATGTTGGTGTCGTCCTGCTTTATTATCAGAGGTTATAATTAAAATATGTTTGCACCTAAGAAATATTATAATAAAGCTTGCATTTGTAATAATGCACAAAATATGAAGGAAGTCATTTTATAATTTATGACAAAATAAGTGAAATTAAATGTTTATTTGCATGAAATCAAATCATTTCTGTGACTTAGAGTCGACTTGATTTAAGCTTTTTCTTTTTTTTTTTTCGGAGATCCAGACAAAGACATAACGGAACTGAACTCACCGGGGACTTCTCCACGTTTCTCTGCCGGAAGTGAAGAAACCCCGACTCTTCTTCACACTTTTTATCCTCTTCTTCTTCTTTTCTTATATTTTGTAGTAAATCCTTGAATTTTGTCCTCAAACAGGAGATCTGCAGCCTGGAGCTCCACAGCTGTCCCCGAGCCTCGCCCACACACAGGAAACACCACCAGCTGTCACAATAAAACGCCAGGCAATACAGGTTCCGGCCAGGGTTTTCAGAGTAAAATTTGTGTACAAATACAAGAGGAAAATATGTGTGAAAGTACATTTATCCACGAGTATGAATGTTGAAGCCTCTGTCATCAGGAAACATGAATGAATATTAATTTAATGTAATATTTATATTATGATAATTGTTCATAACTCACCTGTTTTCTGTATGTTGCGTCCTGATTGCATCACACTTTTATTCTGAAGGGGGAATACCGTAACTTCCGGTGAAAGCCTGACCTGATAGGTGCAGCTTTGAACAGCTGATGGAATGAGACTTCCCCCAAAATCCACACAAACATCCCTTAACTTGTTGGTCTTCCAGTGTCTGTTAAGTGTTGTCTGATGACTAAATGTAACACGTATTAATCCTGTCATTTAAACATATTATACGTGTTTAGTATTAAAGTTTAAACATCTAATTCAGACATCAAGACGCAGAGGCACTCCACTGTGTCTATCTGCAGATTCAACATCCTGGTGCATTTTTGGCAATTACTGGAGACTTTAACCAAACCACTCTGGATAAAGCTCTGCCAACTTTTCACCAGCATGTTAACTCCCCCACACGGAACAATACAACTCTGGACCTTCTGTAGGCTAATGCAAAGGATGCATACAGTCCTACTGCCCTTCCCCCCCCACCCCCTTGGCAGGTCTGATCACAACCTGATCCTGTTAACACCCAGGTATGTTCCTCTGGTGCAGAGGATGCCTGTGACCACCAGGACTGTGAGGAGGTGGTCTCAGGAGGCTAAAGACGCCCTGCAGGACAGCTTTGAGTCTACGGACTGGGATGTGCTGTGTGGACCACTTGGGGAGGACATCAACAGCCTGACAGACTGCATCTCAGAATACATTAAATTCTGTGAACAAACCACCATTCCATCCCGGACTGTATGCTGCTTCCCCAACAAGCCATGGATCAGCAGTGACCTGAAAGCTCTTCTTAATAACAAGAAAGCAGCTTTCAGGTCTGGGGACAGGGACGAGCTCAGGAGAGTCCAGTGCGACCTGAAGGTGAAGCTCAGGGAGTGCAAGGACTCCTACAAGAGGAAGCTGGAGGCCAAACTCCAGCAGAACAACGTGAGGAAGGTGTGGACTGGAATGAAGCAGATAACCGGCTTCAAGTTTGGAGAGAGACAACCATCGGGCTCCCTGGAGAGGGCCAACGAGCTAAACTGTGTCTTCAATAGGTTTAGTTCACAGCCCTCATCTGTCTTCTCCACACAAACACCTCTGCTGCCTCCCCCCCTCCCCCCTCTGTCCATCACATGTGATGAAGGTGCTGGAGAGGCTGGTCTTGGCCCACCTCCGACCGCAGGTGAAATCATCACTGGACCCTCTGCTCTGCAATTTGCATACCAGCCTCATGTGAGAGTGGACGACGCCATCATCTACCTGCTGCAACAAGCTCAGTCGCACCTGGATGGAACCGGTGGCTCTGTGAGAATCACTTTCTTTGACTTCTCCAGTGCCTTCAACACCATCCAACCACTGCTGCTGAGTGAGAAGCTGCCGGTGGTGGGGGTTAACGCATCCACCGTCTCCTGGATCACTGACTACCTCACAGGCAGACCACAGTTTGTCCGACTGGGCAGTGTGCTGTCTGATACGGTGATCAGTGATACTGGAGCCCCACAGGGAACTGTTCTGTCTCCCTTCCTGTTCACCTTGTACACCACTGACTTCCAGTAGAACTCAGGGTCATGCCATCTGCAGAAGTTCTTCTCTGATGGCTCTGCAGTGGTCGGGTGTATAAGGGACGGACGGGAGGAGGAGTACAGGGCAGTAGTGGAGGACTTTGTGGAGTGGGCCGGTAGAAATCACCTGCTTCTGAACGTGGCCAAGACCAGAGAGATGGTGGTCCAGTTTCTGGAGGTCTCCATCGACAGCAGACTGAACTAGAAGACCAACATCAACAAGAAGGGGATGAGTCGACTCTTTTTCTTGAGGAAACTTCGATCCTTCAACGTGTGCAGCGAGATGTTGGAGATGTTCTACCAGTCTGCTCTGGCCAGTGCACTGTACTTCTCCGTAGTCTGCTGGGGGAGCAGCATTGGAGCCGGAGACACCAACAGGATCATTACACTTCTACAATACCTCACAACAACAACATCAACAACAACAACATTTGGTTTGGACAAACAAATCAATGTGACCATAGATTTCTTCACAAATGTCCACAAAGACAACAAAGTGTGGAGGATAAAGGAGGTCTGCTGCTCTTGGGCCCGAGCCCTATTTTTAGGCCTCTGCTCGAAAATTGCATACCCATACTAAAAATAGTGTATTTCTGGAACTACAAGGTCTATTTGAATAATTCTGATGTTATAATAAAGGTAACACTTGCGAAATTTGTACAGATGTCTAAATATCAGTGTATACATTACTGGTTAAGAGTAAATGAAGATCGCACACAGCCCAAATTGAAAAGTTGCAGGTTCACCTGAAAACAAGGTCCTTTTATTGTATTTATTTCTTTAGAATGATCCAGCTGCAAGCCTAAAAACACTCCCAAATCATAGCACAATATGTGAACAGTCTATGTTTAAAGTTTGACTTTGATAAAGTGAAGCAGAACAAAACTAGAGAGGTTGTAGTACAGAGGTCAGGCGAGGTCACCCAAATTGTCATTTTGGAACCAGCTGCTCCATTGTAATTTTCTATACTATATAACTATATATTTCACTTGTTTTATCACTAATAGTGTTAAATACATCCAAATACAGCAGTTTGGCTTCATTTTGAGAGCTAGAATCCTCTCTGAGCCTGTTTCTGTCTCTGAACCATGGAGCTGTCTTGTCTGAATTCCAGTTTCTCTGTGTCTATGCGGGCCTATCTCAGCCTATCATTGGTCGATTTCAGTCAATGAACCCTCCTTCGACACGTCAGAGTCCATAGAATTGAGCTGGGACAACGTGGTATTGATTAACAGAATCGTTAGCCAGTCAGAATCAAAACCGCGCCGTCCTCGTGAAGTGTAACATCCGATAAACCGAAAGTCAAATCCCTACCCCCGGCTCCTCTAAGTTAGATTGACCCCCCTTCTTCAAGGAAACAGTTCAGTGACAAACAGGATATACGTCGAACACATATGTGAATGGAAATAACCGGGAATTTATCCGTTCTCTTCAGGAAATCAGCTCACGGTGAGGTGCGTTTATGATTATTATTGTTAAAGCGGTTTGTGGTTCTGGTGCTTGTTTGCTCAGAACTCTGTAATGGTTTCACGGAGAGAACGGTTGAAGATATCTCTGGAATCTGTGTCGAATTCCCGACACAGATGTGTATTAGTTGTCCGTGTTAGCCTTTAGCTTTGTGTTCGTAGCTTTGTCCGGAGTGCGTAGCTCGCGGACTCATGGCGAAAAATACGTGATATTGTGGTACATCTTCTAGTTGAATGTATTAGTTAGATAGAATTGTGTTTGGAGTGTGTAAAGATGGCTTGCATGATATTGTTGCCCAGACCTTGTTTTTTAATGTGGTATATAACATGTATACATGCATTATATTCACTCTCGATAACTGCATTTTTTGACGGTATATGCTGCCCCCTCTGGTACCGAGAGGCCCCGAATTTGGGGGCATCAGGCATAACATGACCCATGCAGTGGAAGAGAAACAACAACATACTAATACATCAATACTAATATTCATCAGACATTTAGAGCTCAGAGAAGTTCACATCTTCATGCAGAGAAATGTCAGTTCAGGTAAACAAACATCATCATGAGCAGTGATAGCCTCCATGGCTAAACAGACACAGGAAGGAGCTCCACCTAAAGAAACTCCAACATTTACACAACAACTGATGACAAGATGTCAAAGTACCACCCATAATGTTTGACTGACAGCTGATCTCTGTGCAGTGAAGAAACACCACAACAATCAGCTGTCAGCAACAAACATGGAGACAAAGTGAGTTGAAGAGTTCAAACACAGAGTTTAACCCTTAAAGGACTTCTGTCTACTTCAGGTTACACAACTCAGCTGCGATTCCATCCCTATAAAAATTAAGTCCAGCATAGAGAGGCTGAGTGAATGTGGTCTGGACTCTGTGGAGGAGAGTCATGGTTTCAGAGACGCTGTAGAAGGACAGAATACCTGCTCTGTGATCCAGGTACACTCCTACTCTGGAGGACTGAGGACCTGAGACGGGAGTTTGGACACTGTTGTACCAAAACTCATAACTGTCATCGTCACAATCTAACGACCAAGATTTGTCATTGAATCCAAACAAACATTCATCTGAGTCTCCTTCTCTGCTGATATTCTTGTATGCGACTGCTACATGAACTCCTAGTCCTTTCCTCTCCACCTCCCAGTAACAACGTCCAGTCAGACTCTCAATACTCAGGACCTGATTATAAAAAGTGAAACTGTCTGGGTGATCAGAATCAAACTGATGTTCACACAGATATGTTGCTTTTCTGTTGCCATCAGATAATAACAGATATGGGTATGCTGTGTTTGGATCCAGTGTGATTTCACGTGAATACTTTAAGAACTCAGCTCTGGTCTTGGGCTCTGGTTGTGGCAGTAAAACATCCACTTCAGTCCCCGTCAGTGAGACATCACAGGACACATCTTCAGGTCCAGCATAGCAGTGATCAGCAGGAGCAGCTTGGAGTCCAGTCTTCTTCAGCTCCTCCACTAAATCTGCTAACATGGTGTTTTTCACCAGGACAGGCCTCGGTGTGAAGGTCTGCTTACACTGAGGGCAGCTGTGGAGTTTCTTCTTATCCCAGTGTGTTTTAATACAGTTCATGCAGTAGCTGTGTCCACAGGGAATAGTCACCGGATCCTTCAGTAGATCCAGACAGATGCAACAAGAGAAGGTTTCCTGGTCCAGCTGAACTCCTTTCTGCTCCATTTCCCCTCTCAGAGACAACGACTGTGTGAGTGTCACTTTGTGAGAAGGTAAACTAGTTTGAGCTCTGATCTGAACAGCTTGTGTCTTTGCAGTGAATGGTGCCTGTCAGCTCCTGCACTTCACCACCATGTTGGTTACAGCAGTCTGTAAACTGTAGATCTGAAGGGGAGGAAACAAGGAAACACATGAACAGAGTGGAGCTGGCTGTGTGTGACATTTTACTGTAACAGAGTATTTATACTGTAGAGTATTAGTACTTTTACTGTTAAAACAAACTCACATTAAAGTTCAGTGATGCAGCATTTCAGTGGATTGTAACTCAGACAAGAAGTCCAATGTGCAGTGGAGGTTTGTGCTTCAGGTTGATTTTTACTGTGGAGATCAAAGAGAACAACGCTCCTCGTTCAGTAGTTTTACTATTAGAGTATTTTCACAGTGTAGTACACTAACTTCCGGCGCCGCAGTGTATGTTAATGATAGATGGTGTAACTCTGAGCACATCACTATTAAAGAACAGACCTGTACTAAGGACATTGAGTTGTTAGCCGTTAGCATGAGGCCAGGCTACCTACCAAGGGAATTCTTGCACGTTATCGTGATAGCTGCATATGTTTCCCCTCCGCTAACGCTGAGGCGGCCTGTGACGTCATCCACTCGGCGACAAGCAGGCTGCTGACACAACACACCAGTGCCCTCCTCCTTCTCTCTGGTGACTTTAATCATGCCCCCCCCCCATCCTCCACTCTGCCCACATTCACCCAGTATGTCACATGCCACACCAGAGACAATAAAATACTGTATGACAACACCAAGGAGGCATACACTTCATCACCTCTCCCTCCCCTGGGAAGATCTGACCACAACCTGGTGCACCTCCTGCCTGTGTACAAACCTCTTGTACAAAGGCAGCCAGCTGTAACTCGCACAGTAAAAAGATGGTCTGAGGAAGCCGAGGAGGCTCTGAAGGACTGCTTTGACTCTACTGTGTGGGAAGTAGTCAGTGACGCCCATGGGGAGGACATCGACAATCTCACTCACTGCATAACGAACTACATCAACTTCTGTGTGGAGAACACCGTACCCACCAGGACTGTACGGTGTTTTTCCAACAACAAACCATGGATCAGTCCTGAAATAAAGGCCCTCCTCAAGGAAAAGAAGAGGTTCTTTAGATCGGGAAACAAGGAGGAGCTGAAGACTGTGCAGAGGGGGCTGAGGAGGAAGATCAGGGAAGGGAAAAAAAGACTACAGGACGAAGATGGAGGACCAGCTGCAGCAGCACTACATCAGCGTGGTCTGGAAGGGCCTCAAGGCGATGTCTGGATACAAGGGGCCCAACCAACAGCCTACAGGGACCAAGAGTGGGTGAATGACCTGAACTTATTCTTTAACAGATTCGATCAGTTATCCACCCCTCCCCCCATCCAGTCCTCCCTGCTGCTGCAACCTCCATTGTCTGCACCCCCTGTAGATTGCCCCCCCCCCCCCCCATCCACCCCCTTCCCCACAACACTCGGCTACCCCCCACACTCCTCAATCACTACACTCCATGACCAGCGCCCCACCCACCCTCCAACAATTGACGGCACACCGCCCCCCCACCCCCAACTTGTCCCTCACAACTGACCAGGTGAGAAAAGAACTGAGAAGGATCAAGGTGAGAAAGGCCACGGGTCCAGACAGCATCAGCTCAAGGCTCCTCAGGTCCAGCGCAGACCAGCTGTGCGGGATAGTGGAGCATGTCTTCAACTTGAGCTTCAAGCTGGGGAGAGTACCACAGCTGTGGAAAACCTCCTGTGTGGTACCGGTCCCAAAGACCCTGCGAACCAAGGACTTCAACAGCTTCAGGCCAGTGGCGTTAAAATCCCACCTGATGAAGACGCTGGAGAGGCTGGTCCTTGTACATCTCCGCCCCCTAGTGAGCTCATCTTTGGACCCACTTCAGTTCGCCTACCAATCTGGCATCGGGGTGGATGATGCTGTCATCTACCTGCTACACAGATGCCTTTCTCACCTGGAAAAGGCTGGAAGCACTGAGAGTCATGTTTTTTGATTTCTCCAGTGCCTTCAACACCATCCAGCCTTTGCTTCTGAGGGACAAGCTGGAGCAGACCGGGGTGGACCACCACCTCACTGCATGGATCTTGGACTACCTCACCAACCGTCCACAGTATGTGCAGATACGGGAGTGTGAGTCCGACCTGGTGTCCTACAGCCCGGGGGCCCCACAAGGAACCGTTCTAGCCCCATTCCTCTTCACCATCTACACCTCGGACTTCAAATAGGACTCTGCTAACTGCCACCTGCAAAAGTTCTCTGATGACTCTGCAATCGTCGGCCTCATTTCCGCCGGTGATGACAGGGAATACAGGGAACTGAACCAGGCCTTTATAGGATGGTGCCAGCGGAACCGCCTCCAGATCAACTCTAGTAAAACCAAAGAGCTGGTGGAAAATGGATGGATGGATGGAGGGATCAATATAGTATAATAAATTTTAAAAAAAAATTAAATATATGTATATACGATGTGTGAAGGAGAGGTACCGCAGGTCCTTCCTTCCTGCTGCTGCCGGCTGCACAACCAGCTGTGCTACTAATAGACCACACAACACTAAAAATCTGTGCAATACAACAATTATTGTCCATATATTATTTTTAGTTATATTTAGTTATTGTGCTTTTTTTTTTTTACTTAGTGATATTCTTTACTGTTTTTTTACTTCTTTACTTATTTATAATACATAGTTTTTTACTATGTCTCTTGTTTGCACTGTCCACTTTGCTGCTGTAATCCTGTAAATGTCCCCATTGTGGGACTAATAAAGGATTATTTTATCTCATTTTAGTATTATTGTTTTTGCAGTAACAGAGTATTTTCACAGTGTTGTTTTAGTAGTTTTACTGTTACAGTATTTTCACAGTGTGGTATTAGTACTCTCCCTGTTAGAGTACATGTAGTGACTACTTGTCAAAGATAAAATAAAACCAAACTCACATTAAAGTTCAGTGATGCAGCATTTCAGTGGATTGTAACTCAGACAAGAAGTCCAATGTGCAGTCGAGATTTGTGCTTCAGGTTGATTTTACTGTGGAGATCAAAGAGAACAACGTTCCTCGTGCTCTCTCTCTCGTGTTCTGATAAAAAAAGAGTTTCACTAAGAGAGCATCGCGACATTCTGATGTAGTTTTTCAAAATAAAAGCACTTCTTAATCTGAGATATACACATTGTGACAGCTGGGACATGAGGGAGAGTGTGAGGCCATCTGGTGGATGGATGGAGGCGATGCAGGAGGCTGAAGGAGGGACAGAGACAAAATGGCTTAACTACTGTATCGCTCCCTAGTGGTGGAATGGAATGAAAATTGTTGGGTACGTAACAATAAACGATGTGCACATATGAGACAAATTTCGGGATTATAGGTTAAATGGTTTTGAAGTTATGAGTATTGAAATACGAAGCCACACCTTGAAGTTCATTGGTCCATATCTTCTAAACATAATGAGATATCAAACATATTTTGATATCATTGTATTATATAGATCCAATTCTGATCCACAGCAAATTTAGTAGCGATCGGAGTCAGCGTGTAGGAGGAGGTTGTAAAAATTGGTTTTTCACAAAATTCAAAATGGCGGAACATTTTAATTGGACATACGGGATGAGGGGGCTAAAGTCTAGGGGGCGCTAACGAGCATTTTTTTCATGTTGGAGCGTGGGGCCGATACAATATCAAATTTTTCAGCAGTCCTGATCTGCGTCCCGACTTTGGTGAGTTTTCGGATATGATAAAGCCCCCAAAAGGTGATTCATTGGAGAGAATAATAATAATAATAATTCCTACAGTTTCAATAGGGACCTCGCGGCCCGACGTTATCGGTGCTCGGACCCTGATAAAACACAATCGTGTACCAATACAATAGAGGAAAATATGTGTGAAAGTACATTTATCCACTAGTATGAATGTTGAAGCCTCTGTCATCATCTCACTCATCAGGAAACATGAATGAATATAAATGTAATGTAATATTTGTATTATGATAATTGTTCATGACTCACCTTTTTTGTGTACGTTGCATCCTGATCACACTTTTATTTTGAAGGGGGAATACCGCGCACTCCCCCGACTGTGCCTCGATAGCCTCCGCTAAGAGAAGCCTCTACGGGTAGCCAACTGCACCAAATAGTAATAAATCACCAACAGAAGCGCAACTAGTCTCTCGTTTGCTTTATTTTCTTGATCGCAATCATTGATCTGCTCGTTAGTATAATCTATCGCTCGCATAGCCGTCGGTTTTTAAAGTGGTACATGTTCTACCCCTGCTCAGAGCCCAACAGAGAGAAAGCTCTTTCTCACGGTCCTTTAGGACCGGCTTGAAGCGGGACTTCCCCGGGTCTCTCTTAACTGGAGAAACGGATGTTAGTGTATGTATGTGTGTGCAAAAGTTGCATCAGTCGTGTGCCGTGCTGGAAGTCCTTCAACTTAGCACAGGGGCTGGAGATCTCCCCCTTAGAGCAGACCCCTTCTCTCTGGGTTCCCCGAAGGGACGTGAAAAAGAGTCTAAAAGAGTTACATTTGTACTCGTTTATTTCGTCCAATTCAAAGTACATTTATTTTGGTTCAAATACAGAGAAAACTTGATTAACAGAAAATTAAAGAAAAATCTAAAAAGATTAAGAACCCTGAACTCAGTGAGCAAGCTGCTTTCAAAAGTCCGGAGATTCTAAGAATTAAGTTTTAACCCCACACAGGTAAAGACCTGGTGCACTTCTCCCCAACTACTGCCTCGTTCATCTAAAACAGAGAATATGTATACTCTAGCGTTCCAACCCCCCCAATGCCTTCCTCGTGAGGCATGACATGCCCCCCCTTAATTCCAGTCATGCTCTGATGGACACATCGTTCTCGAACACAACGACCTCCTCTGGTACTCAGGACCTATGACACACCGTGCTCACTGGTTGATGATTATACTCAGACACATATTCCTCATCGTATGTTCTCAATAGGTTACAGGGAGACATGATAATACATCAATACTAATATTCATCAGACATTTAGAGCTCAGAGAAGTT